AGACAGTGCTTGTGGAACAACAAGCCCATGCCAGCGACATAGTACTTCATAATCACATCGTTTTGAGTAAAGGAGAACCCATTGTAGTTTTTTGTCCCAAATTTGCATACCTTTAGGCTTTGGAGAATGCGCTTCGCCCTCAATAATGTGCCCTGCAATTTTGAGATCAGTGTGTAATTGATAGGCTTATTTTCCAAGGGACGCATAATACCATACCACTTGTCATCAACCAAATTAGTATAGCAACCTAGCATATTTTTTTAAGGTAGGGATCGATAGTGTTAAGACGTGTTCTATGGGGATCGTTGAAGAACTTTCACCCTTTCGCCTCTTCATGAACCACTTATTAAATGTTAGTGGTATTTTTTAAGTCGATGTTGTAATGTTTCTTCAAATGGTCTTTGAATACAGATCTCTTGGTTCAGTTTAAGAAGTTGTCTTATACCCTACAGAACCATAACGCGCCACCAATATGCGTTGTGTGTATTGTCTTGTCGACCTGAAAAAGATGTCGTTCTGGAAAAGCTGTCGTTCTGGAAAAGTTTTCATTCTGGAAAATTTGTCTTGTACCCTAAAGAATCATTATCACGCGAAACATAGCGCGCCACCAATATGCGTTATGTGTATTGTCTTGTCAACCTGAAAAAGTTGTCGTTCTGAAAAAGTTGTCTTGTACCCTAAAGAATCATTATCACGCGAAATATAGCGCGCCACCAATATGCGTTATGTGTATTATCTGCCTATAAAAACCTAGCGCATTTTAGTTATTACTTGTGCTTAACGAAAGAAGTAGAAAATATTTCCATTAATTTTTCATTTTTCTTGCATTACGAAATGTTTGGACGCAATGACATACCAAGGTGTTTTTGTGGCAAACGTGCGATTTTGTTGGTCAAATTGCAATCTGGGGCGCAGACATTGGATTTGTCAACAACTTGTAAGTTATTATTTGGAAAATATATTTATTAATTTTTTTATATAACATGTTAATTAATAATGTTGTGTTATAATCCCCATTGGTAGGACGAAAATAAATATTGATTTCAAGAATGGTATGATGAACCCATCAACCAGGAATACTACAAATCATGTTTGCACTGTGTTTGGAATATGACCGGTGAATACGAACTCCAGATCTTTAAACTACAACAACAACTTGCAGCAGTGAAGGAGAAACTAAAAGAGGCAGAAGAAGAAAAAAATAGGTTGGAAGAGAAATTTAAGTGGTTGAAGCACAGAATAATGGGCGATAGTGACTAAACAAACACATGGATCTGTTGAGCGTAGTATTTTATCTTTATGTTTTACAGTCATGTATTTTCATTAATTTTACCGAATTTAAATTATGTTAAGTTGTCGTTTTTGTTTTTGTGTTATAGTATTAGACTAATAAATAACCCGAGAAATAAAAATACATGCACAAATAATGTAAAACATAAATAATGTTGCTATTATATAATGAATGTCATATGTACAGATAATCAAAAATGTCAATGTGTTCCACAGCCTGTATGCTTTAAAGCATTGGCTGGCTTGAGGCGCATCCCATCCCGCCCAGCTACACTATCATGATCATTCTCATCACGTCGCCTCTTTATCGGAGGATGCGATGCAGCATGATCGTCGATAAGGCTGGCAGGCTCGGTAGAAAGGGTCGTCGGTCCACCAGTAACCTACAGAATAATAAGATATTTTATTATATGCAACATCAACAATCTAAAGAATAATAAGAAGCATCAACAATCTCGTGTACCGGTCGATAAGAAGATCTGGTGTATCATCTGTAATGTCTGCATACATCGCCTCCAGATGCTGCCGGACGGGCATTAACTGCAAATGACTGACCCCACTCAATGCGGTCTCCTCCGCTGGCTGGAAACTGGTGAGCTGCTGCAACATCTGCAGATACCGCAATCCCGTATATTCTCTAAGAGCATGCGGGTAAGCTACAGGTAGTCCATCAACCGGCAGCCTAAAAAGAACCTCCACGTCCTGAAGCGTGATGGTAGCCTCGCTGATGAGTAAATGAAACGTGTGCGTCTCGGGACCACTCTATCATAGCAGTGATCAACCGAACTGCAACCGGCCGATCTCTATGATCCTATAGAAACCCGTATCCTGAAAGCGTCTAACTATACGGGGATGGAGTGGGTGGGCCCTAATAAACTCCCACATATCGTCTATCCGTCTAGCGCGGAATGTCTGGGACAAACACTGCCCCTCCTATATGTATGAAGACTTATGCTCTCGGCCTGTAGCAACAATAGCTCTAGCGATGCAGGTCTGGGATGCACAGGCGGAACCTCTATGACGACTACAGTAAATTGAACAATATTAATTAAAGTATTTTCTTTTTAATTGCTTACATCTTTAAATATATTGCAATCTCTTTAATATTAAAATTTATTCGATATTTTTACTATATTGTTAACTAGGTTGATACATTTTGTATATTATAATTTTATATTTTATATGTTAGTTTATAATTTTATATGTTACTTTATTATTTTATATGTTAGTTTACTATTTTATATGTTTGTTTTTTTAGAATGATTTTTTTTTGAGAATAAACTATTTTATATGTATGTTTATTATTTAATAAGTTAGTTTCTTATTTTATATGTTATTTTATTATTTTATATATTTGTTTCTTAGTTTATATGTTAGTTTATTGTTTTTTATATTTGTTTGTTACTCACCTATTTTTGATATAATAAAATTAAATAATTAATTTTCATAACTATATAATATTTAATTATTAAATATTCATATAACAATACTTAGTTTGACAAATATTGTTGTTTTCTAATGTTATTTCTTATGTTTGTTGACTAGAATTCAAGAGAGTTTGTGTTTGAACTATCAGCTTTTTTTAGATATTTTGGGTTTAACATATAATTAAATGATTAATTTTAATAACTACAAAAATACTACGTTAAATGGTACTACATTTTACTACGCTAAAAGGGCACTATATTACAAGTACGGGCACAACATTAAAATTACAGGTACAACATAACACTACAGGGAACTAAACAATATTAAACTCACATATTAATATAATATCTAAATAAGATTAATTATTCCTAAAATAATAATTTTTATATTTTACTACTCTTTTAGCACATGAATAATGTAATCTGGATAAAACCAACAAATTAATTTAATAACAAAATAATAACGAAAATACATATACCACAGTAAAAAAATAATTAATTAAATTTTTTTTATAACAACTAATAACAATTTTTCTATTTTACCAATTGTTTTACCACACTAATAATATAATCCGGATAAAAACTAATAAATTAAATAAATAGCAAAACAATCACGAAAAAACATACAACATAGTAAAAAATAACTAATAGGCATTTTTTATACATAAGTTTAACAAAAAGTAAGTCTGAATACCTCGATTTTAATTTTTTGGAAAGTTGAAGATTTGGTGATTTGGAGCCGAAACGAGCAACCCATTATAAGATAACACCTTAGATACGACGTAGAACCCAGAATCTACACTTTTTGTGGGATCGATGGGCTCCAATCGAGTTTTTTGGTTTTCGTTTTTCTAATGGGGAGGGGAACTGACTGGTTTGGTAAGGAAGGAGAAGGGCATGGTTATTTATATAGTTATAGCGCCCATATATACCACGCTACACTATAGAGCGGTATATATGGGCGTTATACCTTCCCGCCCATTTAAGTTCGGAAAAGGGTTCAAAATGCCCCTAAACTATCGGAAAAGGTTTAAAAATACCCTTCATCCACCTATTGGGCTTAAAATACCCCTCCATCCACTTTTTTGGTTCACTTATGCCCTTTGACCGTTAGGTCAATGCTAAATTAAAAATAATTATTATTCTTTTTGTTAAACTTAAAAAAAAAGTTTGCAAAATATTTTGTTTTATTAAACTAATGCACCAATAGTCCAATAATTTAGTAAAGTCTTCTTATTTTTTTTCCAGTTTTTACAAAAAATAATTCAGTTTTTAGAATAAAATTTTTTTTTTTTCATTTTTTCAGTTTTAAAGCATTTTTTTTGTAAACACTGAAAAAAAACGTTTTTAATAAAATATTTTGGTTTTTTAAAAACTGAAAAAAATATTTTCAACAAAATATTTTTATTTTTTTCAGTTTTTTTAAAGCATTTCGTTTTATTTTTCGTTTTTCAGTTTTTTTTTAAGAAAAAATATTTTCCTTTTTTTAAAAAAATTGGAAAAAATGAAAAAAAAATATTTTTCAAAAACTAAAATATTTTGTTGAAAATAATTTTTTTCAGTTTTTAAAAAACGAAAATATTTTATTAAAAATATTTTTTTTCTGTTTTTACAATTTTTTTCANATTTTTTTTTTCTGTTTTTTACAATTTTTTTCAGTTTTTACAAAAAAATGCTTTAAAAAATGAAAAAAATAATATTTTTTTGCAAAAACTGAATTATTTTTTGTAAAAACTTAATAAAGAGAAGAAGAAGACTTTACTAAATTAGTGGATTATTGGTGCATTAGTTTAAAAAAACGAAAATATTTTGTAAAATATTTTTTTCAAGTTTTACAAAAAGAATAATAATTATTTTTAATTCAGCATTGACCTAACGGTCAAAGGGCATAGGTGAACCAAAAAGATGGATGGAGGGGTATTTTTAGCCCAATAAGTGGATGAAGGATATTTTTAAACCTTTTCCAATAGTTTAGGGGCATTTTGAACCCTTTTTCGATTTAAGTTCAAATAAAGCGCGATTATTCACCGCGCTATACATTAACAGATAAACGTGCCCATCGCGCTATACATATTATGGTGCACATTCCTTTTTTTCATACATTATGATTGCTTGAGTCCAAAAGAAGGACACTTTGGTTGGGTTGCAAAATAATTGTACTCTAATCTAATTATGTACACTTACCCTAAAATAAAAAGAGTATCCTGATATTTGCGTTAAATCAAACTCACAGCTTAGTCGGAAACTTCACTATGTGAGTGGGATAGCGACAAGATGCTTGACTCGCTAACTTGACAAAAGTCAACAAATTGAGGACGAAATTTCCAGCCAATTGCGAGCTCTTGGCATAGTATCTTCTCAGCATCCCAATGCTTTAACTCTTAGGCTCACACTTACAACTTTCCTAAATTCGGCCATTTTGGGGGTGTAGCATTTAGCAATGGCCGCAACTCTGTTGGGAGGAGCTGCTCTGGGTCCAGTCTTCGACATGCTACTCAAAGCCGTTATTGATGTTGGCATAAAAATTGCCACTTTCCGTTCCAAATTCCAAAGCTTAAACAACACACTTAATGATATCAAACCAGTGTTCGATGACATCGAGAGGCTAAACAAAGCACTAGACGGCCGAGAATGCGAAATAGAAATGTTCAAGAAGCAGCTATTAGCAGGTGAAGAACTAGTCCGTAAGTGTTCCAAGACTAAATGCTACGACGCTTTGAAAAAATGGAACTACTCGAGGAAATTGACCAAGTTAGAAAATTCACTGGTTAGGTTTTGCCAAGTTCATGGTTTTATTCAGGTGTGTAGAGATAGTAAAATTATTCTTGTCAATGTGATTGAACATGGTAAGAAATTGGATCAGATTAGCTCCATGTTGAGAGACATTTCGTTGACGAATGGGACTAGTATTGGATTTACAAACTCTAATGGGTCTTCAGGGTGGATGAATGGTGGTAATAGTTTTGGTAGCACAAATGGGAATGGATTTTCAGGTTGGTCTGACGTGCCACAAGTTTCAGATTCTGTGGTTGGATTTGATTTGCCACTTCAAGAATTGAAAGTAAAGCTGCTTGAGGAGAAAGAGCAGGTGGTGGTTCTTTCTGCTCCTGCTGGCTGTGGAAAGACTACTTTGGCTGCAATGGTTTGTCAAGAGGATGATATCAAAGGTATTATAATATGTTTGATGTCAATCACTTGCCCTAAAGCTTTGATTATTAGTTTTACTTAACGACTCCAACTTGTTTGGGACTAAGAATAGCTGTTGTTGTTGTTGTTACCATTGTTAAATTAGTCCTTCGGAAGATATGTGTCATCAGTTTCAAGAATTGTAAATCTTCTTTTTACAATAATTCACTGATGTCCTTAGAAGAAACTTCTTGCATTCCTTTGTAAGTTCACTTAGCTAATTCTCCCCTAGTCCCCTTTGTATCGGAATTGTGAATTTATATGCTACCTGGATCAATTTGACAAGCAATAGTTCGTCTGTCCGTCAATGAGTTGAATTCTGACATATACATCTTATTTTTATGATTGATAGCAACCGCTTGAATATTGACACGAGCAGAATGTTATGTTTTCTTGTTAAGAGAAGGAAAAATAAGAATTTTGTTCTGGGTTTCGATTTATTGTATCTATCTGCGAAGTTGTTTTCCTCATTCTCTGGTGTCATAAAATCCTTTTGATAGTATGGAAGAAAGCTGAAAGTCCCTTGTACCTAAAGGCTATATTTTGTTTTTTATCTCCTGAAATAAAATAAAAAAAGCAGTTTCTTTTTGTTAAATACAGTTATTAGCCATACGGATTTTTCAACTTAAAGCAAGAACAGTTGACATATATAATGTTGCATCATGTTCTTATGTTATAATAAGCTTCTTGATGATCTTTGAGCATATTTAATCTAATTCTCTCTTAACAGACAAATACAGGGACATCTTTTTTGTCACTGTTTCCAAAACAGCAAACATCAAGCGCATTGTTGGGGAAATTTTTGAGATGAAAGGTTACAAGGGGCCAGACTTTGCTTCTGAATATGCTGCAATCTGCCAACTCAATAGCCTCCTAAGGAGAAGCACATCTCAACCTGTACTTCTGGTGCTGGACGATGTTTGGTCTGAATCAGATTTTGTCATCGAAAGTTTTATATTTCAGATACCTGGATTTAAGATTTTGGTCACCTCAAGATCTGTGTTCCCGAAATTTGATACATATAAATTAAATCTTTTGAGTGAGAAGGACGCGAAGGCTCTTTTCAATAGTTCAGCTTTTAAAGATAGCATCCCTAACGTTCGACTTGATCTTGTTCATACGGTAAAACATATCTATGTTTAAAAGGGTCTTTTAAAATAATTATTTGGTTATCAAAACAGGTGAAATGTATATGTAAAATGCTATTGTGCATGTGTTTGAAATATTAAAGAGTAAAAAATGCGTTTTAGGCTTTTAGCTAAATACTAGAGGTGTGATGTTCTCCAAAGGATCTGCCTAATTCATAGTAACTTATAAAGTTCTCTATTTTGTGTTGTAATATCAAAGTACTTTTACATGGTGCTAACTGGTGGTAAAAATGGCAGGTGGTGAGAAGCTGTTGTGGTTTTCCACTTGCTCTTAAAGTTGTTGGCCGATCATTGTGTGGCCAGCCTGAGTTGATATGGTTTAACAGAGTGATGTTGCAGTCTAAAAGACAAATTCTCTTTCCTACCGAGAATGATCTGCTTCGCACTCTGCGAGCTAGCATTGATGCATTGGATGAAATAGATCTATATAGCAGCGAAGCAACTACATTAAGAGACTGCTACCTGGATCTAGGATCATTTCCTGAAGACCACAGAATTCATGCTTCTGCACTTTTGGATATGTGGGTGGAACGATACAATTTAGATGAAGATGGCATGAAGGCAATGGCAATCTTCTTTCAACTCTCTTCAGAAAATCTGGTTAATCTCGCCCTTGCAAGGTATCACTTTTGTCTTGAAACTCTAATGTATTTGCTACTTTCTACGTGTAATTACTGCATGGAAGTAAGTTGCTCTGACACAGCAGTTTAGGTGCCGCACCTGTGCCGACACGACACTAATATGGATGTGGGTATGGGATCCGTACCGGATCTGGTCAAACAATTTTGGGTACTCTAACCACGACAAATGAAAAATCCGAGACGAGATACAATTTGATTCCCGAAATCAGAACCAAAACTAGGGAAGAAAATAGCATGTCTTATCTAGGAAATCAATCCTTTACTCATCTACAACTAGAGAATAAAAAAGAAATCCACACTTTACAAGCTATACGTTAGTATTCCTCAAAATTTTCTCATAATTTAGAGATATTTTTATTTTTTTGAATTATTTTTAGCCTGATCCCCACATCCGTATCCGTACTAGAATCCGTAACCCCGGATCTTAGAATTTACATCTCGAAGGATCTGACCTCTACATCTCCAAAATCTAATTGTTTAGTTCGTGCTGATTTCCAGAAAGGATGCACCAGCAGTTCTTGGATTACATAACTTGCATTACATACAGCAGCATGATCTGCTGAGAGAACTGGTTATCCACCAGTGTGATGAGAACACAGTAGAAGAGAGAAAGAGACTATATATCAACATCAAGGGGAATGACTTTCCTAAGTGGTGGTCTCAACAAAGACTTCAACCACTTCAGGCGGAAGTTTTGTCTATATTCACAGGTTTGTTATCCATCCCTTGTGCTCCTTTTTAGGGCAAGAATAGAAATGTCTTTTGCAAACTTGCTTCATCTTGCCTCAGCTAGTTAGTTACAACTTCATGAATCTGAATTGCAGATGAAGACTTTGTGTCTGACTGGTATAACGTGCAATTTCCTAAAGTTGAAGTACTTGTGTTGAACTTTGAAGCAAAGACCTACAACTTACCCCCTTTTGTAGAGCAAATGAGCCAATTGAAAACTCTGATTGTGACAAACAATTATTTCTTCCCAACCAAATTAAATAACTTTCAGTTTTGTTCTCTGCTCAATCTTAAGAGAATCAGCCTGGAACGCATCTCTGTTACGTCCATTTTTACAGCAAACTTGCAGCTGCCAAATTTGCGGAAAATCTCCTTCATCATGTGTGAAATTGGTGAGGCATTTGAAAACTATGCTGCCAATATGTCTTACATGTGGCCAAAACTCGTAGAGATGAATATCGAGTACTGCAATGATTTAGTGGAAGTACCAGCTGAAATATGTGATCTTGTTGATCTTAAAAAGCTCAGCATTTGTTATTGTCACGAATTAGTTGCCCTCCCCGAAGAGCTTGGAAAGTTGACAAATTTGGAAGTACTGAGGCTTCATTCTTGTACAAAATTATCCGAGTTGCCAAAGTCAGTAGTAAAACTTAATAGATTGGGGTTTCTGGATGTATATGATTGTGTGGAACTGGATTTCTTGCCAACAGAAATGGATCAACTCTGTTCTTTACGGACTATCTGCATGGGTAGTCGCCTGGGGTTTACTGAGCTGCCCGATTCTGTGCTAAGACTTGTGAAATTGGAAGATGTTGTATGTGATGAAGAAACAGCCTCATTGTGGGAATATTACAAGGAACATCTGAGGAATCTGAGAATCACTGTGATAAAAGAGGATATCAATTTGAATTTGCTGCATAAATCATTGTAAATCATTCTTGAAGCAACTTTGGGACTAGAACAAACTGAGCAGAACTGGTAGCTGGGGATGAAGGCAGTACTAGTTGCATCTGTTCTAATACCCAACACAAAATTTGAACTTTCTCCAACTTTATTTTCAGTGAATTTTGAAAGATACAGCTCAAGATTGATTATATTACTTCATGAGATTCATACCACTGTCAAGAATTGACATCTTATTAGGAGCTGTCATTAAAGTTAATATGCAGAAAAGCTAGTAACGCCGGAAACTAATTTGAGTTTGAACGTCGAGAAGCTCAAGATGAGTTTAGTATATTGAATTTATGGAAGGGCCATTTCTTCGTATCCTTAAATTTGGAGAGGGATTTGGACCCTGATATATTCCTATATATGCATGGAATACTACTGTCTGCAATCCATAGTAGCATAGATGTTTTGTTTTTTTATGTTAAAAAGGAAGAAAGATTTGATTAGCAAGGAACCATTTCGTTGCTGTTGACAAAGAGCCGCACGGAACAGTGGCAATTCTTGCAGATTAGGTTTTTAAATGATTCTGCCATCTATTACTCAGATGCTGAAATGTTAATACAAGTTTGACCTCAATCTTTAATAAGCAGGCTATCGTACAAAAGTTTCAACTTAACACAACAAGAGCTAGATGATATAACATGTGATTTAAGCAGTAGAGTTGCAAAAAAAGTTGAGATTAGTCGCCAGTTACTTCCCAAACATTCCCTATGAGCGCTGGCATCGATTATGACTGGAGGTTATTTGGGGGAGATTCTAACCCACTTTTTGGAGACCATGTGCCGAGGCATTGCTCTTATTCAGAATTTCCAACGCTGATTCTTAACCTCCGGCAACTATGATTTCTTGCTGTATTTGATTGCGAGGCTGTGGATTGTTTGCCAACAGAACCTGGAAATTTCTATATAATGTTGGACTGAAACAGACTTAAATAATGTAATGTAGATAATGAGGATTCATATAACTGACCCCAACTTAGCTTGGAATTGAGGCATTTTGCTTTTGCGTTCCTCAAGGATCATTGCCTTAGTAATTTCTTCAAAAATTTAGCAACACACCTCATGGTACAACCTTACCACAAACTTTGTCAGAGGTCTCTGGATGTCACTTGACCATAATAGGAAAAATGCACTATGCTATTAAGGAAAATATAACATCAACCAGAAGGGCAGTTAAACTATACAGAAAGGAAAATCTTTGCTAACAATATTGTAATACACAAGCCCTAAGACTATAAGCATCTCAAACTTACAAAAACCACAAAGACACATGGTTTGACACAAAAGCAAATAAGCAAGTACAAGAGTTACAAACGAACTTCACTGTATAACACTGTAAGAGAAGAGATTTTGAACTCAAGTATGAAAACTCCATTACTTTTTTAGCCAATTCCTCCTATGGCGATAGGAGAAATAATTCATGGGTACACTAAAAGCCCCTTTCCAGGATAAGAACTTGATTGATTACAAGCATTGTTAGTCCATGTTCTTGCTGCTGAGTATTCAATAATCTCTATGCCTTGAACACCAACAAGTCCAGAAATGTTCTCGTAAGAATGCAGTACGACTTCTTTCACAAGCATGGCAGTGAGGTGCACTCACATTGCATATATGATCTCCCCGCTGCTATCAATATCAAGATCAGGATCTGAATCCAAGTCATCCATGTCATCATCCATCATTTCCAAGTTATACAAGCCAACTGGTGGTACTGTTGCCTCTGAGATTATTTGCATGATCGTATCTATGCTCTGCATTGGCTGATCGGGCTCTTCAAACTGGTCACTTATCATCTTATCGTCCATTAAATCTGCCGGAAGATTCTTCAGAAACCATACATGATTTTTGATTTCAGGCATTGTGATCCTCTGTGCCATGTGCAACGGAAGATGGCATAAGCATAAGTGATAACTACAATCTGTATTATCTTGAAGACTACTCTGTGACACCCTTTTGGCAATATCTCAAAATGTTTGACACACTTGAAGAATTAAGAAAATTCTGGTTATTTTTCTCTTCATCCCACTTTATACATTCCTATAAGCAGTGTAGTTTTTTTTATTTGGAGAATGTATAAGTAGTGTATTTGTTTCCTACTATTACAGGTTTAACACATAAGTCAAATTATATTTATTAACTTCATGCCAGTCAATCAGGACTGTATAAGATGGGGCTAGACAACATTTTCAAAGAAGTGCCTTAACAACAATGTAGTTGGATGGTGGTCAGCAATTACTACTATAGGCAAGCTTGGATCAGATTGTAGTCAAAATTCTAATGCAATCACAACAGGGACATGCCAAAACTCTATCTACCCACGTTCGCATACTGATTACTTTTAAAACCACACTAACCTGTGCCGGATCTCCAACAAAGATCCTAGAGATTAAGTGGCGACATTCCTCAGATATCTGAATGTTATCTGGAATAGAATACTGCACACTCAGGATTCTCTGTGCAGCAAAGCCAGGGGTTAACATTTTGTAATAAGAAATCCGAAAGAAATTGGAATGAAGTCATGATAATGATTAAGATGTACGTTTATCGTCTTCCGGAAATCTTTTGGTTCATCAGGATCCTCAAAAGGGTAAGCACCCACTAACATGACATACAATGTCACCCCACACGACCACACATCTGCAACCTGAAATAATAACAATCTGTGACATTCTCTTGTTGATTGAAGTTCATGTCAAAATAACACAGTACAAAAGTAAGCCATCATGATAGAATACATAGTAAGTACTCAACACATTGAGAAGCTATAGTTAGAATGAACACCTGAGAAGCTATTCGTCCTCGTTAGAGAGAAGAATACAACAGATGTTACAAGGCCAAGGTTGAGTGAAATTTCATGGATGCTAACCGAGCTAATCTTTTACAGTGCAATAGTCACAAAACAAAATTTTGTCACTAAAATATACCTCAACTTCTGGTCTAACTTGCTTAAAGTAAAACCCCCCGGAAACCTTAAATCCAGTAATAGAAATATACTTTCCTATAGAAAACCCACCAGAAACCTACATTGGCAAGTTACAGAGAAAGTTGAGGCATATTCTAGACACAAAATTTTGTTTTTTTGACTTCTGCATAATAAAAGTATTCTTCCTTTCCACTTCTCCTTCATCAACAACCTAGCAACCCTTCACTATATAAACACACACAAGGTGTAATTCTCACGCTATATTTTTGATTAGGTTGGTTAACAATATATTAACAATTTAATATTAGAGGTTGTTCAATGGGCAGCACTAACAGAATCCAGTCCTTAAGAACTAAAGTTGAGAAACAGCAAGCTTCTATACCTGTGATACTTCATTCTAAACAAAATTTCCCAAGCTTCTATTACACCGGGTTTGTTGTTGTTGTTGTTGTTGTTACTAGCACCTCACTATTGAAGCATTCAACATAACTAGAAATAACAGGACTAGACTAGCTATTGTGTGGAGACAAAGAAGTCAAAATCCCAAAAAGGATATGAACCTAGCAGCTGGTCATACAAGATTGCTTACCCAACATATCATGGCCTCAAGCGAAATGGCCCAGAAATGCTCCTTTAATAAGTTTCACATTTCTTTATATTTCAGTCGCCCAGATATGGAGTTCTATAAGGCCTAATTTTCATAATCTACTTATTTTTTTTTTTGTGGTTGGGAAGCAATTTAAGTAATATACTGAATCCACTTATGCCTCTGCTCATCAAGAACACCATCTGCTCTCTTTCCCCACTTATGGGGAGTGGGGATAAGAAGGATGCTCAGCTGGACATTCCAGATGACAATAAGTAAATGTCGGTCAAAGTAAAGCTCACTTCGGATGTGCAGGAAGCATTCACATGCATCACAAAAGGAACTTCGAAAACAAAAATTATTGGTACTTGCTGTTATTACTTTTTTACATAAAAGTATCAGTGCTGCTATTACATAGCACATTAAACCAATTTACCTTGCCATCATATTCTTGCCTCAACAAAACTTCTGGAGCAATATAAGCAGGAGTTCCCACTGTTGATTTTGGTTGCGAATGCAGCAGAGAAGACTGCAAAAAGTGCAACTCAAGATTAAGAAAGCAGGGAGCAGATATGCATACAAGCTGTATATGTATCTTGTATGAAATTAAGAAGACCTAGACAGCTCTGTGAGTGGCTAATGATGGGGAGCCCTAGTACCTTGGAATACCCAAAATCACAAATTTTTAGCCGAGGAGCAGGGCTTCCATCAAGCAATGTATTTTCCAGCTTCAAGTCCCGATGACATACTTGCTTCAATAAGAAGTACAACAGAAACAGGCTGAATAAAGTTCCAATATGATCTCCGTATTATATAAACTAAAAGAAATTGAGTAAATATTCAGGGCAAGTCATTACCATGGAGTGACAGTAGCTGACGCCAGATATAAGCTGCTGGAAAAAGAAGCGAGCCTGTGCAAGAAGAGATTATGTTAACCCTACAAATCTCGCACTACCATAAGCAAAATGTTCTACAATTAACAGGTTAAATACCTCATCCTCATTGAAACGCCCTGCATTAGAAATTCTCTCAAAAAGCTCCCCACCCGATGCATATTCCATCACAATAGCGAGATGAGTTGGCGTCAAAATCACCTAGAGTAAAATTTTAAGCAGACCAGTCATAAATATATAACATCCTATCTAGGATCTATAGGGGCAGTCAGTGGCAAACCTCTCTGAATCTAATTATGTTAGGATGCCTCAGGGACCTGTGATTGATTATCTCCCGCTGAACATTTTCATCTATCTGCAAGGCCAGAAGATGGGAGAAGAAATGAGCAGTGTCATATGCAGCCCATATAATTCACACTACAAACTTTTCATCATAATATTGAATTGGTCCTTTCATCTAATGTGTGGAAGAGAGGGACTAGGGTGGCTCAGTTAAAAGGTCTATAATTACAAGCGCTAGAGCTTAGACTAGGTCATATTAGGCATTGGAGTACAATCCAATACAAAGCTTCATCAAGATTGACCACAGCTTATGATTTTATTTATTTATTTCATTACTGTTATTATTAGTACTATTATTTTGGATAAAGAGCACAGCTTATGATCAGAAATATCAGATAGATCTTTTAGATCTAGTGAAACACATATTATTAGCAAACTGCAGGTCAAGGAAAGTATAACATGTTAAAGCACAAATAACTTACTGCACAACATAGCTGTAAAGCACATGATAAAGTCTGCAGCGAGTGTTTTAAAAAGATGAACTAGTAATACCTAAATACACACATGCTTGCATACAGCCTGAAAACCCATAGCCAGGAATACAGTTAATGCATTTTGCAACTAAAAATCCACTGAATAACTTATTTTACTCTAATACTCTCCGTTGCTCAGCCTGCTAAAAAGAAAATACTCTCAATTCCTAATTTTATTATATATGGGAACGTCTGATATGGTCACAGAAATGAGTATGAGGGTTTCATACCCACTTATTGTCTAAATATGCTCAAACCATTGAGGGTAAGGGCTGTAGTCTCTTTATATGGTTTTGTTCTATCCGATCTCTTAAACTAACTTTTTGAGGTTAAGTACATATTTTTATCAGGGTACTAGAGCCAGACTCATCCATGAAGTTGGATTATTCAATGTTGGACTGACGTTTTACTATCTGCACTACAAATATCTAGTCCTAAATGTGACAATGTGTTCATTTTTCTTGAGAAACCAGCCAGAAGATCACTCAAAACAGAACCTTTCCCAGCCAGTTTGAGCAGCAAAATTGACTAGTACCTAGTGTAAATATTACCAAGTGGTGCATGTTACTCAACCTACCAGAAAACAAAGTTGAAGCAAAATCAGCCCCTTCTAGATAACCACTTTGATAGTTTCCCAAAAAAGTAATAAATAATATTATTGCATTTAACCTGTTAAAGAATTCAAAGAACTTATCACAATTATCCTGCTATAAATAAATCTGCTAAAAAAGTAGTTCACGGAACTCACACCAATGAAAATGACCTCATTTAACACCCGCAATTTAACAAAGGCAGATCTAAGAGTATAAACAGGTGCAGAGTACCTTAGCAGAAATAATATATTTGAAAAAAATAAACTCTTATAGATTAAGCCGAAATCAGTGGGTATAAACGAACCAGAAAAACTGGCATTCAGCTGAGTATTCAGGCAATGGTAGCGAAGAAAGAAATAACGGAAATTTAAAGCAGGTAAAAATGAGCAGAATTAGTAATTCCATGAATCCAAATTTACATGAGGAACTAACCTTATCGCCTCTTTCGATATACTTGACAGCAACTAGCTCTTTAGTCTGCTTATCTCTCATCAACCTCGCAACCCCAAAATTACCCGACCCGATATCTTTAACAAGATCGTACCGGTCACTGTCGTGCATGATCGGCATATCCATACCCGGACCCGGAATCAGACCTCGATCCATTTCGTTTGTTAACTCAGATTCAGCTGCACTCTTAAAGAAAGCCGAAGCTCCGATTTACATCCCAGAGCTGCCTTTCCAATGGCTCAAGTTACCGGAGCAGGTGATCGAAGTGGTAAGTCGCTTTTACCCTCAGATAAGGAGCTGTCTGTGAAGAAACGGAGAAAAATAGAGGAGAAAGGCGGTGGCTTTTTCGTACTTTTGACCTTTTTCCGGTCATGAAGTTATTGGAGTAGATATTTTTATGTATGGTCGGCAAGGTAATGAAAATATCTTTATTTTTTTTTATTAAAAGTCTCTTTCTTATCTTTCTCTCTCTGCAACAGTTGAAATGGATTGAGGAAGAAGGAAGCGACGATAAGTTGGTAAGAGAAGATATAAACGGCACCGTTTTGATAAGCTGGACGTTAAAAACGACTGCGTCTTTTGCAAGTTGCGACAGCAACTGATTAGATGTTCCTTGTATTTATCCACCTTTGTCTTTATTTTTGTCATTTTCTTTGCTTTTTCTTTTTTAGTTTTTTTTTTTTTTTGTTGGTCAATTTTGTGATGGGACTATGCTTTGTGTTTTTATGTAACAGAATTATCCACCAAATGGATATGGTGCATTTTGGCGTGACCCACGTTTTGAGGTAAGGCATATATGACACTGGTCGGTCCAATTGAAAGTGTTCATATTTGGCTGATGTTTGTTTCCCAGTTTCTTTCTTTGGAAATAAAAAAGATGAGATTCCTAATAAATTACATTTCTTTTCCCAAAATCCTCTGTTACTACTGAAATTATATTATAAGATGAAATTATATCCGACTGTGTCAAGGTTAAATTACTTAATTATCTAAACTCTGTTATTAATTTATACAATCATAATAGCTTAATAGAGAGGAGTTTTTTTTTTTAAATCTTCGCCACTTGGTGGTTATAAAGTGCGAATAAGAAGCATTATAAACGTAACACTCTTAGCTTATATACTAGTAGTAGGAAAGAAAAAAAATGGAAAGTTGTACTTTAATATTATGTTGGTAGACAACATCACTTCCTTAATAAATTAGTTTCTGAACATGTGCGTTGCACGTGTATCTCTTCTTAAAGTATAAAGCTCAAAATAAATGTTGTCATACACAAAAAATAAAATAAAAAGAGAAACATGTAATTTTGCGGACCACTAAATCGGCCTTATTAAAATTGAAGCAATCCTTGTTTTCTTGTTATGGATAATTTTGTTTCATAAAGAGGACATAAATATTACCAATCGTGTTTGGTTGCCATTTTGAGTTCCATATAAATAAGAATCACACAACTTATGCAGCACATTTGTATTGTTTATAGTAGCAATATTTGGATTATTCACCTTCATAAAAATACGCAATTAATATGAATAAATATCCTTAAAGTATGTTATGTATTTTATCCAAACTGAAATTATATGGGTCAGTATCCTACCCCACGATAACTAACGAACTAATCCCGTCATATGCTAATTCATGATTAATAAGTGGTACGACCACTTAGAATTAACGGTTTTTAACCCTTGCCTGATTTGATCAATAAGGCCACGGTCCATCCGCCATCATGAAGGCGAAACCCCAACGTGGTCACGGCCACTAATTGCCAGCTTACGAAGCTCATAGCTATAAATACCAAGAGAGAAAATCCTAGAAAAGGGGGCTCCTTCTTGGTCACTATCCAGGAAAAAGAGAAAAAACACAATGATACCCATATTATGAGAGAGTAAAACACCATTGTAAGGCCCTAAACCNACCGGCGTCTCACCTGCGAAACAGTTGCAACGACCCATGAACGCTGAGAGGATGTTCCGTGCGCCTTCAGAATGATGGACGTCGCCAAACACGTATCCAGCGTACCCCTACTCCCTTCGGCTGCACAACATATGACCCGTCCACTATGGTCGACGGTTATGCTCCCAAACAAACGTAAGGATCGGAGCGCAACAAAGCTCGACCTCACTCGAATTAAGTTAACGGGTCAGGTGCCTTCGCCAAGGGGGAAAGTTCGACCTTGACCGAACGACGACTTGACAACATAATAACAAAACACTCACACTCTACAAGGCTAAGGGCCATCGCCAAAGAGAATTCGGCCTCGACCGAAACGACAGCCGACCTCCCTATCCGAGTTTCTCAAACTACAGTCGATGAAATCCGCTCATCGAGCTCGGTCAAGGCACGATCTCAATAAGCGGAGGGACTAACTGTATGGGTCAGAATCCGACCCCACGATAACTAACGAAGTTAATCCCGTCTTAAGCTAATTCATGATTAATAAGTGGTACGACCACTTAGAATTAACGGTTTTTAACCCTTGCCTGATTTGATCAATAAGGCCACGGCCCATCCGCCATCATGAAGGCGAAACCCCAACGTGGTCACGGTCACTAATTGCCAGCTCACGAAGCTCATAGCTATAAATACCAAGAGAGAAAATCCTAGAAAAGGGGGCTCCTTCTTGGTCACTATCCAGGAAAAAGAGAAAAAACACAATGATACCCATATTATGAGAGAGTAGAACACCATTGTAAGGCCCTGAACCTCTTCATGGAGAGGCAGGCCAAATCAACATTATCAATAAAGGATTTTAATGTTTCTCCTCCTAACTCTGAGTACTTATTTTCGTTTCCTTCATTTGGTCCAATGGATTATTACGTTTTGCTATGATTTTCCCGTAATTTAATTATGTTGTTTTATACTCATAAGGTATGTGATAACTTTTGAGCAAACAGAAATACTATTGTTTCTTCAAATTTTTTACTTCTCCGGAGTAGGGGTAAGGTCTGTGTACACATAGCCCTCCTTAGACCACTTATGAGATTTTACTGGGATGTTGTTGTTGTTGTTGTTATTGTTTTGTTTATGTAAGATGAACTGTTCGGAAGGTTTGATTTCAAATACAGCTAAATATTTGAATGACTAACTATTAAAGTAAAATGATCATAATTATAAGCTAAAAGGGTAGATGAAAATGTACCCCCGAAAAATTGTGTTGCAGTGACTATAGTGTATAGGATACTTGTCAAATGTTTCTTATCGAAGGGTGATCATATAAGAGTAAATGTGTAATGAACAATACAAAAGAACCCAACACTGACAAATACTCAATCCTCAACACTCCTCCCCGACCCTATCTCATCCAGTTTCTTGCATTTTTTTAGTTCTTTTTACTCATACTAGAATAATACTACAGTTTTGAAGGATCAAAGAAAATGTTTGAGAGTTCTTGACATTTATTCTAATTAGCAAATATAATATACATACAAACTGTACCTGATTTTCTCCGTTAACAAATTTTATCCTTGCGCCGATATAATTTTAACTTTTTAAGCAATCATGCCAGAATCTAAAGTACTTATAACTTTTTACCCCCGAACATGACTGATTTGTTTCATCTTTTCTTGATAAAAACAAATGTTCTTGCATCAAGATATATAGTGGCTTGGGCAAATTAAAACTGAAACGAAAAGATAATCCTAGTAGTATATGAATGGACAATTTCTAATTTGCATTTAATAAATGCATTGGTCTTGTATTGAATTAGTCGAATGAATTTAGGCACTACCAATAACACCTACAATAACTATAGGTAGATGGAACAATTTTTTCAGAATACATTCACCTGTTTTAATCTAAAAGTAATTATTAATGAAGGATTTTTTTTATTCAAGGACAAAAGGGTCAACTAACTTTTGAGGGATATTTTAGTAATTCAATTTTTAACTTTGGGCTTCACACTTATAATATAGTACTAGTTTCTCGGCACGTGCGTTGCACGTGTATGTCGAGTCATATAGTATACAAATTTGTATTGGTCAAATAGCTATGCGTGAAAAAATATAGTACAGGTTATATATGTGACTGGTTAATTGTGGATTGTCATATGGTGACTTGTTTGTCGAAAATCAAGATGATTGGTTATTGTATAAACCTACAAAGATGAATAATCAAAGTTTAATTAGATACATGTGATTGGTTTTCTTATTTTGATTCTTATTTTGACTCTTATGAGTTACAACCATACAATAAAACACATCTCACCTAATACTTCCTTACATACGTCATTCCTAGTATATGTTCTTTTTATGCACATAGAATAATAATTATTAATGTTCATACCCCGATTGCCTTTTGTTTAATCGAGCAATATATTGCTTCAAATAAACTATTAAAATCAATAGTTGATATCCAAATATATGAAAATTATGAATCGTCTTACTAAACAGATATAATAACATAGAATTGTTTTATTATACTTATAGTGTGGATTACGTTGATATCTTTTTTGAAAGAATTATAATCTTTATATGAAAATATTAATGGATAAATTGCGAAAATCAATAGAGAGTAAAAGCATTAGAAGAATTATGAATCAAAATGATGAAAGCAAGAGTACAAGTTAAATTTTGAGTGCTATGGCAACTTAAATTATTTTTATACGAAAAGAAAAAATATACTAAAATTGATAATTAGATTGACACACCAACAATAATTTTTTTGACATACAATTTCAAAAGTCAAAAATTTTCGTAGTTTACTTCATCCACTAATCTTTTTCGCTTTTAATATTTTATTAGTCATTGAACATTGATCTTTATTGTTGTTTTGTCCTTTTCCTTTGTATCATTGCAAATTTATCTTCTTCGTTAAATGTGGTTGCATTAACATCTTCAAGTATATGTATCACTATAGTCTTTTCTTTTGGTTTTTTTTCTGGGGGTCTAATATGTGATGTATAACGTGCTCATACTTATTCATTAGGATGTTCTCCCTTCAAAAGCTCCTAATAGAAAAGGGCTAAAAAAATGAAGTAATTTCGTATATAAACGTATGGGTTCCTGGATTTAGATTGAAATTACATCCCCTACGTTGATAAGAAAATTGAATTTAATCTTTACTCAACACTAATTTGTGACAGTACTTAGATTCTTCCTCTACAACATTAATATACAATTCATATGTTAGAAGTCAATTCACACTTTTGAGTAGGGGTATACAAACCGAACCGAAAAACCGCACCAAACCGAAAAGTCAAACCAAACCGATTAAAAAACCCGACTCGGTTTGGTTTGATTTGGTTTGGTATGATTTGGTTTGGTATTGAATAAAAAAACCCGAACCAACCCGACATATAAATATATAATTTTTATATATATTATTTAAGATTTTATATAAAATTTTCTTTAAAAAATATCTAGAAATATTTGGGATT